TCAAAAAGGCCAATCTATTCAGAAAAGCATTCATGAGATTTCACAACCTGACCACACTTTTTCCTTCTAGCATAATGTCTTGCTAGTCCACTTGTGAACTTTCTAGCCCCTGGACTTGTCATTCTCCAACACGCCATGCTTTTTCATTCATTTTCACCTTGGCATAGGCTGTTAGTGCTGACTGGAAAGGCCATTCTCTGCTGGTGAAATATAGGACCCAGTTTGAAAGTCATCTTTTCTGAAGGCTTTTCAGACTTCCCCAGTAAGAGCTGGGATCTCTCCATCCCCAGCACTGACTCTGTACTTAGGCCCATCACAGCACTTAGCATGCTATATTGTCTGTCTCCTTATTTGATGGCAGAAAATATTTTATTCATCTTGGTGAAACGAATGCTTTCCTAACACAATGTCTGGCTTATAGTTAGGTGTTTGCCGAATACAAGACGATTCTGTTCCCTTTTCCCAGGACGTAAAATTCCTAAGGGATGAATTCAGACTAACTCTTTCCTCACTGCCTCTTCCCTTCCTATGCAGTATGGGCTGCTGTAGATTGAATGTTTGTATCCCCCCCCCCCAATTCATATGCTGAAGTCCTAATCCCCAATGTGATGGTATTTAGAAGTGGGAGGCAATTACATCATAAGGGTTGAGCAGCACCCCCCACCCTCCACTGAATGAGATTAGTATCCTTATAAGAAGAGATGTGAAGGATATGATCTTTCTCTACCACGTGAGGATACAGGAGAAGGTGGCTGTCTGCAGGCCAGGAAGCAGTCTCTTGCCAGATACCAAATCTGCTGGCACCTTGATCTTGGACTTCGCAGTCTCCTTGGAGAAATACATGTTGTTGTTTACCCATCTAATTTATGGTATTTGTTATAGAAGCTCAAGCTGACTAGGATACATATCTACATATTTAAGATGCTGCCTTTCTTTTTTCTCTGATTTGCACAGACATGAATATCCCTCTCTTGGACTTTGAACCACTAAGAAGAGCCTAGGGACAGAGTGGGGTCACTCCTAAGTGCACTAGAGGAGAAAATGTAACAGTGGTGTCAAGGCTAAAAATAAGAGATCTTGGAGAGAAAAAATTGTGAGAGACACAGAATTTGTTCTTCCCTGTGTGGCATATAGTGAATACGAATTTCTAAAAATCCAAAATTCAGATATGCGAGAAAGAAAAGTTTTAGATTTCTTTTTTCTAAATTCCAATTTACCATTTATTTAGAGACCCTATTCTCCCTGAGGGCAGTAACCACAACTTTAGTAAATTCCTGGCAAACTCAGTCACTGCAAGTTTTAACTCAGATGATTCCCCGGTTGCATTTAAGTAGCCTCCTGGCTCCAGGGATGAAGCAGTATTTGGGTCTCAGACAGCAGTTGTCCATGCTGTTATTTGCTGTAATCATCACGTATGGTTTCCAGATGTAGTCACCACTTACAGTAGCTTCTATCGAGATGTTGATGTTCCTACTAATCCCCAGCTGTACGGTCCAAGCTTCCTTATGCTGCCCTGTTCCCTTGTCACGACTACAAAATTCTTTCAGGTGTCTGCACTCTGTCTTTTTGTGGGGGTTGTTGTGACTCTAAGCTGGTTTGGGCTTGTACAGCTTTAGATTATTTTAGGAAATAATAGTAACCACCACAAAAGCGGTTTACTCTCCATAAATTATGCCACAAGTGCAGACCTTATTAAAAGAACATTTATTAGGAAGCAGTCTTGAAAATATTTATACAAACTATAAGACTGATGAAGTCCCAGCTCTCTGTTCTTTTGGAGCGTTCTGACTACCTCTTTGCATGAAATGTTTACTTGAAGCAGATAGAACAATATGCAGAGGCAGGATCCTGTGCTCTCAGAGTGAGCATCAGGCAACAAGGAGTCCTCTGACTCAATGATCGTGCACAGGTTCATCTGTGGGTCAAGCCTCAGGCCATATCCTTATTGGTACAAGGAACAGGCCTGGGTAGATTTTCATATTATATTAATTAAGCTACGCATCTCGAGTTCCACTCATTTCCACAGTGAGACCCTATTTTCTAACATTCGTTATGCTAATTAGAAAAGCTTCTGGTATTTACGGAGATATGGATGGTAGAAGGTGTATATTCATATTGGCTGGAGTGTGGGCTTCCTGATTTGCATGCTAACTGGCTGCCCCTGGGATTTTAATTCCTGATTTGGGTAATCTTTTAGTCAGTTTGGGTTACGGTAACAAAAGTGCCATAAACTAGGTGTCTTAAACAGCAAGTACTTATTCCACACTGTTCTGAGAGCCCGAAGTCCAAGATCAAGGCGCTAACAGATTCAGTGTCCGGTGAGAAACTTCTTCCTGGCTTGTAGACAGATGTCTTTCTGTTGCGTCCTCCTGTGGTGGAGAGCAGAGAGATAGGACTGGGCGAGAGCTCTTTCTCTTCTTAGATGGACACTAATTCCATCATGGAAGTTCCACCCTCATCAGCTAATTACTTCCCAGAGCCCCCACCTTTAAATACCACATTAGGGCTTCAACATACGAACTTCGGCAAGACAAACATTCAGTCCCTACCTGGAAACTAGCTGGACCTTAGGTTGTAACTTATACCAAAAAATCTTTAATATTACATTGGTTATGCTAAAGGATTTTATATTTGTTCCCTTCATACTCTGCCATAATAACCATCCTTTTGGGCAGTGGTGGACCTGTGTTAAATTGCCTGGGTTTGAGTGGAGGGTAGAGTGGGATGGAACAAGGATATGTGGATTAGTACTTCAAAATACTATTTTACTTTGTGAGTGTACTTTGCTTTCTTGAGAGGAAACATAGAAGTCTGTTTTCTCATAAACCTTCAGTAGGAGGTAGATAAGCCTTTTGGATAAATGTTAACATTTTTCTTTCTGACAAGGAAAGCCCACTGACAAGTTGGGTAAGAGAAAAATTTAAACTGACCTGATCTAATTTAGAAAATAAATCTTGGAGATTTTCCTTTCTTAACATACTGTAGTTTATCCTCATTTTAATTAATCATTACACAGCAGAAGTTTGCCTTTTCTAATTAACACATAAAAAGACAGTGATTATAAAGAACCTTGAAACATCTTAATTCCAAGGTATGGAAACCACGCATAGAGGAAAAATAATTTTAAGAAACTCAATAGTAAGTATCTGGCACACAGTAGGGCTTCACTAAACATTTGTTTTTGAATGAATGATTGAATAAATAAAAGTCTGATACTAAAAGAGTCAAGTCTGTGGGTATTAAAACACAGGCAAAGTCTGGCAACCTTTTTGCACATTAGAAACTTGTAGATGATTGAGAGAATTTGTTTCTGTGGAAGTTATCATAGAGAAAACTACACTCTGCCAGAATCTGATAGAAGAATTAGGATAAAGCATCTCCAGTGACTCCCTCAGATCTGTCCCTTTGAACTCAAAGCTCAGAGTCTTGGGGTCTGAGGCATTTTGATGGGGACCGAGAAACTGCTATGGAGACAAGAGGTGAAGCACCAAGAAGGCTTTGTCCTGCTTTGAATGCCAGAACACAGAGTAAGGCAGAAATTGCCTATCAGAAGAAATTTAGTGTGCTGCCTGGGTGGCTCAGTTGGTTAATGTCCCACTCTTTTTTTTTTTTTTTTTTAAGTTTATTCATTTCTTTTGAGAGAGAGACAGAGCACGTGAGCAGGGGAGGGGGCAGAGAGAGAGAGGGAGAGAGAGAAACCCAAGCAGGTTCCACACTGCCAGTGCAGAGCCTGATGTGGGGCTCGAACCCATAAACTGTGAGATCATGACCTGAGCCAAAGTCAAGAGCCGGGCACTTAACTGACTGAGCCATCCAGGCACCCCATCTTCCCACTCTTGATTTTGGCTGAGGTCATGATCTCAGGATCATGGGATGGAGCACTGCATTGAGCCCCTTGTCAGACTCCACGCTGGGAGCTGAGCAGGCTTAAGATTCTCTCTCTCCCTCTGCCCCACTAATGGGTGCTTATGCACCATCTCTCAGAAAAAAAGGAGAGGAAAAAGAGGGAGGAGGAGGAGAAGGGGAAGAAGAAATTTAGAAACATTTACTGAACTGTGACTTCTATGGTGGAGTAATTTATTTTTTTAACTTGGTTTTCCTTTCTTTCCTTTTCTTTTTTAAATCAAACTAATGCCAGGATAATTTAAAAGATCAAATAATTTTATAAGGCTTATAACAATAACAAAAGTCCCTCCATTACCTCTCTCTATCTCTCTTTCAAAGGGGTAACTAATTTTTAAAAAATACTTTATTATTTAAAAAAAAATGTTTAGTTATTTTAAGAGAGACAGTTCGGCCATTCTGTCAGCACAGAGTCTCACATGGGGCTTGATCTCATGGACCATGAGATCATGACCAGAGCCAAAATTAAGAGCCAGATGGTTAACTGACTGAGCCACCCAGGGACCCCCAAAAGATTTTATGTATGTATGTATGTATGTATGTATGTATGTATGTATGTATGCATTTTTCAATTTACATCCAAGTTAGTTAGCATATAGTGCAACAATGATTTCAGGAGTAGATTCCTTAATGCCCCTTACCTATTTAGCCCATCCCCCCTCCCACAACCCCTCCAGCAACCCTCTGTTTGTTCTCCATATTTAACAGTCTCTTATGTTTTGTCCCCTCCCTGTTTTTATATTATTGCTGCTTCCCTTCCCTTATGTTCATCTGTTTGTATCTTAAATTCCTCATATGAGTGAAGTCATATGATATTTGTCTTTCCCTGACTAATTTTGCTTGGCATAATACCCTCCAGTTCCATCCACATAGGTGCAAATGGCAAGATTTCATTCTTTTTGATTGCCGAGTAATACTCCATTGTACATATATACCACATCTTCTTTATCCATTCCATCAATGGACAATTGGCCTCTTTCCATACTTTGGCTATTGTTGATAGTGCTGCTATAAACATTGGGGTGCATATGTCCCTTCAAAACAGCACACCTGTATCCCTTGGATAAATACCTAGTAGTGCAATTGCTGGGTTGTAGGGTAGTTCTATTTTTAGTTTTTTGAGGAAAACTCCATACTGTTTTCCAGAGTGGCTACACCAGCTTGCATTCCCCCCCAGCAATGCAAAAGAGATCCTCTTTCTCTGCATCCTTGCCAACATCTGTTGTTGTCCGAGTTGTTAATGTTAGCCATTCTGACAGGTGTGAAGTGGTATCTCATTGTGGTTTTGATTTATATTTCCCTGATGTTGACTGATGTTGAATGTTGTTTCATGTGTTGGTTGGCCATCTGGATTTCTTCTTTGGAGAAGTGTCTATTCATGTCTTTTGCCCGTTTCTTCACTGGATTATTTTTGTGTGTGTGTGTTGAGTTTGATTAAGTTCTTTATAGATTTTGGATACTAACCCTTTATCTGGTATGTCATTTGCAAATATCTTCTCCCATTCCGTCTGTTGCGTTTAGTTTTGCTGATTGTTTCCTTCACCGTGCACAAGTTTTTATTTTGATGAGGTCCCAATGGTTCATTTTTGCTTTTGTTTCTCTTGCCTCTGGAGACATGTTGAATAAGAAGTTGCTGTGGCCGAAGTCAAAGAGGTTTTTGCCTGCTTTCTCCTCTAGGATTTAGATGGCTTCCTCTCTTATATTGAGATCTTTCATCCATTTTGAGTTTATTTTTGTGTATTTTTAACTAGTCTCTACGTGCAATATGGGGCTTAAACTTACAACCCTGAGACCAAGACTCACATGCTCCACCAACTGAGCCAGCCAGGTACCCCCAATTTTTAAATTATTTTTTTTAAGTAATCTCTACACCCAACTTGGGGCTTGAACTTACAACCCTGAGATTAAGAGTTGCATGCTCTACCACCTGAGCCAGCCAGGCAATGGGCAACCAATTTTAACTCTTTTAGTATTACCATGCTTATATTATTATTTCCTAATTTTTCAATTTTAGGCATTATCTATTAACTTCTTATCCCTCTGCTTCTCTCCCATTTTGTTTTTGTAAGGGAGGAAACATAATTTTCCCTCTACCCTTGTGAGTTCTTGGCTGAGACTCCTATAATAAAAGGGGAGGGTAAGTGAATTTTAAAAAAGACCAATGGGCCATTAGAACAGATAATAGGTATGATAGTAGGTGACAAAGTTTGTCTGGGTTGGGGTGGTGTCCACCTGTCATCTCCTCTCCTGTGATGATAGTCAATCTTCCCTGGTTAATGAAACTCCCCAGGGAAGGGATTTATAACAATTGAGCTCCTTTTAAAGGCTCTTTCAGTAAATAAGGGGAGCTCAGAGAAAACCTCTCCCTGCATTAGCTGTTTTTACTTTTTTTTTTTTTTTTTGTGAGAGAGAGAGAGAGAGAGAAGGTGCAAGTGAGTGAGGGACAGAAGGAGAGAGAGAAGCGCGTTCACCCGAAGAGGGACTTGAGCTCACCCGACATGGTACTCAAACTCGCGAACTGTGAGCTCATGACCTGAGCCAAAGTCAGACACTTAACGACTGAGCTACCCAGGTGCCCTTGTGTTGGCTGTTTTTTCAAGTGCTCACAGGTCAAAAATAATTAATATATGGAAATGGCATATTTTGGGCTGGCATATATCATCATATATTTCTTTGTTAAATCATTATTCAGTATTCATTCTCATTGGACTATGTAAATATTAGTTCCATCATGTAGTATGATTACATTTCCTTTCTGGTTCAGCTTTTTTTCCCTCCTTGGACTGTTTGCCTCAGTTTTGTTTGTTTGATTGTTTGGCTTTATATGCATTCATCCCCTATCTTCCACGGAGTTACAAATCTCACTATATTTAAACACATCAGGCATTTACTTGGTTTCACTGTTTTCTGGCACACGCAGGGTATGTTGCAAATGAGAGCATGAGGGTCCTGAGTTTAGATCACTTGGTTTGAATCCTGGCTGCACCACTGATTAGTGGAGATCTTGCCTCAGTTTCCTCATCTGTAAAAATGCAGAACTGGTAAGGCCTATCTCATAAGGTTGTTAAGATAATGATTTAAGCATTAATAAATAGAAAGCATTCAGAACAATGACAGACACATCATAAGTGATCATTTGTAATATTCATCTTGTAGCCTTGTTCTTCTGTTCTGGAATATTCTGGTCTCCTTTTTCTTGGTTCACTCCTCGTTCTGGAGAAGCACATCCACTGGTAAAGTGTTTCTCAAACTTTAGCTTGTATCTAAAGGGCTCATTAGGACATAGACTGTAGTGTGAGGTCTCAGAATTTGCATTTATAAACAAGGGTCCTAGTGATGCTTTGGCACTTTCCTGAAAAAGAACATTCAGGAGATAAAACATCTGAGACTTTGCTATCTTTTTTTTTTTTTTTTTTTTTATTTATTTTTGAGAAAGAGAGAAAACACAAGTGGGAGGGGCAAAGAGAGAGGGGGACAGAGGATCCGAAGCAGGCTCTGTGCTGACAGCAGAGAGCCTGATGCAGGGCCGAACTCACAAACCAGGAAGATCATGACCTGAGCCAAAACCAAGAGTCAGATGCTTAACCAACTCAGCCACCCAGGTGCCCCCTAAGTAACACCTTTTATCTGTGACAGCTCCCACATGTTCACAGAATTGCCAGAGTAGGGATTAGCCCAGCTGCCTGCACACACTGCCTAGTACTATCCCAACTCCCACTGCCTTCCACTCTGCAAAGAATGAAAGGACAGCTGGGAAGTAGAAGGATAGTTATGTCAGTTAAGTCGGACGCTCAACTGACTGAGCCACCCAGGCGCCCAGAGATCTTGCTTATCTTAAAATGTCTTTATTCTGTTATCACACTTGCTCAATAATTTGAATGGGTTAGAATTCTAAGTTGCAAATGATTTTCTTTTGGAATTTTGACTGCACTGTAACTTTCAGAGCTGTTAATCAGCCAATATCGTTTTCATTCCCGATCACTTCGTATGTGGTCTGCTTTTTCTCTCTAGAAGCTTTTAGGACTTTTTTTTTTTTTTTTTTTTTTTTTTTAATTTATTCCTGATATCCTGAAGTTTTTCTATAATATGCTTTGGTGTGTGTATGTGTGTTTTAACTGGGTTGGGTCATCACCGGGCACCTGGGCTCCTTCAATCTGAAAAGTTACCTCTTTTAGTTCTGGGGACTTTCTTGGTGTTTTCTCTTTGATAATTTCCTCTTTGTTCCCCAATCCTGGAAATTTTATCACTTGAATGTTGAACTTCCGTGCTGATTTTCTTCTTCTCAACTTCTTTATATATATTTTTTTACTTATTGGTGGTTTTATTTCCTTTTGGGCAATTTCAAGTTTATCTTTTTAACACTTTTATTCACATTTTATTTCTATCATATTTAAATTCTAGGAGTGCTTCTTTTCTGAGTAATACTTTTAAGAAAGCCTCCTGTTTTCATTTCATGGATTTGTAGTAGTTTCTCCTCTCTACTTGAGGGTACTAGAGTTTTGTTTATGACATTATCTTTTGCTTGTTGTGCTCTATGTCATCCACTGTTCCTATTTTGGCCTCTACTTTCATATTAAAAGCCTTCATCATGCCCAGTGATCCTTGACTGTCTTTTTATATTTAACAGTAAGGGACCAGAAAGATGTTGGAAGGCTCTGTGTGTGGCCACAGGGCTTGTTGGATGATTAGGACCAAACCTGGCTTTTTCTAGAGCTGTCAGCCTCTGTGGGTCCTTTTTCTCTTGGGTTGGTCGGTTTCTCTTGAGAGTGATTCTCTTATCTCCTGTTTGAGGTTTATACTCCAGGCTGCCAGATTCTGGGAACAAATGGGTAAAGGCATTGAAGATTTTGCCGTGCAGACCGGAGATTTTTCACTTAATCCTGGTTTTCATCCTGGCACACATCTCCTGCCTCCAGTTCTGCCTGTTGTCAAGTTCATATTCCTTTTGATTCAATTTCACCAAAGATGAAACCTCCAGTCTTCTGCTGGAGTTAGTGACAGGTAGGCTCCTAGTTGCAGGGAGCTGGGTGGTTGATTTAGAGATTTAATTGATTTTTATATCAGACTTTCAAAAAGTAGTCCTGCTTTCACTCCACTTGAACTCCACTCCTTCTTCTTCCAGAGGTGCTTTGCTTCTCCAATTGCTGAGACCTTCTGGGGTTTGTGGGGAAATCCATTTACCCGACTTTCTGTTTTCCTTTGATTTGTCATTCAGCTACCTGCTTCTTGTTCTCAAAACATTGTCACTATTTCTGTGATCATTTCTTATGTATTCTTGTTCTTAAGTATTTATACATTTTGTTAGGGGGCAAAGAAGTATATTTAACAGATTTTTTTCTGTGTTTTCAAAATAGATCGAGAAATATATGTATCCTTACACATGAAATCTGATCATTGAAATACCTTCTTAACTGTAACGGTTCTTAAACGAAGCAAGGACAAAATATACAACAAGAAAAAAAAAATGTGAATGGTGAATATAGGCACCAGGAAGCAGAAGAAACTTGGCCTTACTATGAAGAAAGAAACGAAATTAAGAGAAAAATATATCCTTGGAGCTAATTGGTTGGTTTATTTTCTATACCACCTACTTGTTCAAACTAAAAATTTTGAATTCACCCTTAAAATGCCTTCTTTTTCACCTTCGTATCCAACTTTTCCCTAAATTTGACTTATTTTTCTTCGATTTATTTTTCTCATTGCTCCGAACTTAGTCCAGATCCTTTGCTATCCCTTACATACACTGGAGACCTCTATACACTAATAGCTTCTGTGATGGTTAACTTTATTGTTAACTTGGCTGGGCCACAAGTTACCCAAATATTTGGTCAAACATTATTCTCAATGTTTCTGGGAGGGTGTTTTGGATGAGATTACCACTTAAGTGAGTGGATTTTGAGTAAAACCGATTCCCCTCCATAGTGTGGGTGGGCCTCAACCAATCAGTTGAAGGCCTGAGTAAACAAAAACTGGCCTCCCTTGAGCCAAGAGAAAACTTTCAGCAAACTGCTTTGGACTTTGACTGCAACATTGAAGGACTTCCTGGTGCTACAGCAGACAGCTTTTGGACCAGAACTGAGGCATCAGCTCTCCTGAGTCTCTAGCCTATCAGCCCAACCTGCAGATTTTAGACTTGTTATCTTCCATAATCATGTGAACCAATTGCTTAAAATAAACCTCTTTTTATAATGTGCACACCTTCTATTGGTTCTGTTTCTCTGGAGAACCCTAATACAACCTCCTTCTTGACTTCAATTTCATCCTTATTCTTATGCATTCCCCAAATTGCAATATTCAAGTGTCTTTTAAAACTCAAATAGGATACTTTCACTTAGGTGTTTAAAAGATCTTCAGTGTCTTCTCTAGAAGACAACCTTTTTCAAGGCTTTAAGCTGTATTTCCAACTTTATCCCTAGCCCCTCATTGGTGAAATGCACTATGGCCTTTCCTCCTCTGTTCTTTTTGAATGCATGATTTCTTTTGGAAATGTCCTCCCTCATTTGCATCTGGAAAATTGGTCTTCTTTTAAAAAATGTTTCTTTTAATGTTTATTTTTTTTTATTTTTGAGGGGGGGGGAGGGGCAGAGAGAGAGAGAGAGAGAGAGAGAGACAGAATCTGCAACAGGCTCCAGTCTCTGAGCTGTCAGCACAGAGCCCAATGCAGGGCTCAAACTCACAGACCATGAAATCATTACCTGAGCCGAAGTAGGATGCTTAACCACCTGAGCCACCTAGGCGCCTCCAAAATTAGTCTTCTTTTGAGTCCTGGCCCATGTGTCACTCATATGAAGTGTTAGTAAGGACTTTTCTCTTTCCCAGTCAAGTTAAGGGCTTCTTTTTCTAGCTCCACAAGACCTCTACCATAGTATATGTGCAAAGAAATGCAACCAAAATCAATCATATTGCATTGTGATTATTTGTTTATGTTTCTCTTTCTCATTAGAATCCAGACTCTAAGGAGGCTACTACATAGGAGGTATGCCATGACCATTTATTTAGTTACTATTACTAAAACTGTACCTGAGATTCTGTCAGCATTTTTTTTTATTGTAGCTGGAAGGTGAATGAAAAAGAATATGAAGTGAATTCACTGCAATTGAGCTGAAAAATGTTTTTAAATGTTTAATTTTTTTAAATCCAAGTTAGTTTTTGAACTGAAATTTTAATTCTGTATATCACAGCTGACATGATAAAGGTGAAAACTGTTCTGTATTTTCTGGTACAATTTTTCCCCTCCCTGCCTTCAGGTGGGGGGCTGCCCTCATTAGGTCCCACCTTTTTTTTTTTTTTTTTTTTTTTTTTTCGTGGTTTCGGGTCTTACATTTAAGCCTTTTTTTTTTTTTATTTATATATGAAATTTATTGTCAAATTGGTTTCCATACAACACCCAGTGCTCATCCCAAAAGGTGCCCTCCTCAATACCCATCACCCACCCTCTCCTCCCTCCCACCCCCCATCAACCCTCAGTTTGCTCTCAGTTCTCAACAGTCTCTTATGCTTTGGCTCTCTCCCACTCTAACCTCTTTTTTTTTTTTTTTTTTCCTTCCCCTCCCCCATGGGTTCCTGTTAAGTTTCTCAG